GTTCCAAGAGTGGCAGTGTACGGAACAGTAGATTTGTTTTCATAATTTTTAGAAATGGTATTAGGAAGGCTAATCTGACTCAAAGATAACCCTTGTGTCTAACTGCTGATCTGGGTGATTCTATTAAGTGTTTTATATAAGCTTTACATGTATTCTGTGAAAACAAAGACCATCTAAATAAATTGGGGGAATTGAGACAGCACTGCTTCAAAGTAGGCAATATTAGAGCCATATAAATGTGTGTTAAAGCCAATGATAATCTTGCCCACTTAAATCTCTAAATCTTGGAATCCTGCCAAGCGCATGATGACTTGCAGCAATAAGTTATATTGTACATTCTAATTTTGTAATTTTTGTATTTATTCAATTTAACTTGATGCTGTCTGTCTCAAATATTACAAAGTTTTTGGGAAAGGAGGACCAGATTCAAATCAATTTCACTTTTACTTCTCATGATTTATTATCAATAAACCTGTAGTTCTCATTTTGTTGTGAATTCATAATTACCATTCTCTAATTTTGTTGCTGCTGTGCTTTCTAAAACTAATATTCTACCAGATTTTGTTAAGAATGTTATTTTGATGACTTTGAGCTACACCCAGATCCTGTCTTTCCCATTTACAAAGATGGGCTGTCCTAGGGAGAACTGGCTGTAAGATATGCTATGAGCAGTGATAGGGTTTGCGATGTCTGGTGGAGTTATGGCCTTCCTGCCCGTTCTTCACCAGACTAGGCAAGGTTCTTGATTGTGGGCCATTGTCATGTTAATGTTTTTGCTGTTACTTGGGGGGGAAAGGTTTGTGGGTTTGGGTTTTTTTTGTTGTTTGGTTTGTTTGTTTGTTCAGTTGGGTTTTTTGTTTAGTTTTGTTTTGTTTGGGGTTTTTTTTAGGTATATTTTAAAGCTTCTAAGTAGGGTACAAGAAAATGGGAGGATATTCTGTATTTTTATATTTACATTTTGGAATGATGCAAATACCCAGGGAAAAAAACCCTCTGGTATTCTTTTGACCCAGAGCAGGTTTTTGCCAGTCCTCAAGAAATAAGAATGTGGTGAAACACCAAGCATGTGGTGCACAAAGAAGTTGCCAGTTCTGTATTTTCAGAGCTCTGGTGTTTTCCCTGGCTTTCTCCAGTACTCCATAATTATAGTCAATTTGAGGTAAAGCAATTGGAGTCACTGTGGTGTAAAACAGAAGAATGTTTGTAAGGATATAAACCTTTGTGTATTCCTCTGGCTAGTCCTTAGTATTTGCTGATTGTTAGAAATCTTCTCGGAAATGCCAATATGGAAGCAATAGCCAAATCAGAACACAGTTTTACTGACTTGGAAGGTGGCTGCCACCAGGCCATTGCTGTGCAGCGTCAAGGGCAGTATTATTCCTCGGTGCTAGCAACAAGCATGGCATTGACTTGAAGAGCATCTTAATATTTTTAAGTCACTTCATTAAAAATATTTCCTAAAAGGTTATTGTAACTGTATCTTATTACCTACTTCCTAGCTTTACATTCATGTGCTAAACACGTTTTCCTGCAAAGAAAGCTACCTTGATCACAAACAGAAATTACTGTCTTGCAAAACTTCTATGTGGAACTTTTCTGTTCAGATTCAGTTGATGATAGAATGTGTCTTGAATCCACAAATGTTACACGCTTAGAAATTACGAATGAGTTCTCCAGTGCTAGAATTTGATGCTTGCCTGCTTATTTTTGTCTTAGTAAAAGCTCAGGAAAATAGCTGTTAACGGAACAGAGGGTTAATTAATTATGCTAAGTTGCCTATTATTGTTTGAAGCAAGGATCAGTTCAGAAAAGAAAAAAAGCACCATTCTTTTAATAGCAAAGAGGCAAGAGGAAAGGAAGGGATGATTTCATTCCAAATAAAACCATACCAGAGGGGGATTCTTATTATTTGGATGAACCAGCAGTATATTTTCAGGGATTTGAAGTTTGTCAGCAAAGCCACGTTTTGCTGGAATCTCTTGCCAGGAGAAAAGATGACTTATTTTGTCCTCGTTGACTGTTTTTATTCAGAAAGCAGGTGACAGCAATCAATTCCAATGCCATCTCCATCTCCAATTATTTTACAAACCCCAGGAGCTAATTACAGCCCTCAGGCTCTGGCTGTCAGCTGACTTCATCATGCGCCTCTTTTGGCCGTTGTGTACCTCTGAGTAATTGTCTATTTATGGAAAATAAATTAATAGCTGCTATTTCTACTTTAAAAAGAGGACCTGTGAGTGAGTGTGTAGGCTGAGTAAGTGCGTTGTAGAGAGAAGGAAGATGAAGAGAGTAGGAGGCAAACGGATCAACTGAAAGAATAAAAGAGGAGTGAGGGGAAAGGTGATGGCAAGATGTTAAGGGAAAGAGTTAAAAGGAAAGGGAGGAAGGAGGCAGGATCCCAGAAAATTGAACAGCAGAAGCAACCATGGCAGCCAATGGCAAGATACAGTGGGACAGGAGGAAATAAGTGAGCATGATTGTGGGAAATAGTATTTTAAAATATGATTTTAATATAGATAAAATATGCTTTTTTCCCCAAATTCTAACTGTATTGTAAACACAGAGGAGTAGGAGTCCTTGGTAGTCCCTGATCTAGTTGAATGTGTCCCTGCTCATTGCAGGGGAGTTGGACTAGATGACCTTCCAACCCAAACCGTTCCGTCATTCTTACCGTCCATACCTCTCTTGAAAACGCTGTTGACAAGAGATATTGCCTGCCTTCCTGGCTTGCTTAAGGGGAGGAAGGATTACATGTTATCGTTATGTTGATTATCTGATTCATAGAGAAATTAAAACTGCGCATTTTAATATAAGATACTGCAGTAATGTACATGAATAATAACTTGAGCATCCTTTATTCAAAAGGTTCTGTGTTTTGCTAATGTTATAGACACAGTGGCTAATACAGAAGGTTTTGAATTGACAAATACCAGCAAACTTTGCCTGCAGCTTGTATAGACAAATCTCTGCCATTATAAAGGCTGTTGCTATTTTGGTGTCATTGTGGCATGGTCAGAAGTTTTGTTAGTGGGGTTTTTTGGGGGGATTTTTTTTTTTTTTTTTTGGTTGATTGGGGTTTTTTGTCTTCCAAAAGTTACCTGCCAAATAACCTTATGAAGGCAGAAGTGACCCTGTTATAGGCCAGAACTTCCAGCAACTTCAGGTTAATTTCAAATACGTTGTGTACAGAACTTAACTGTGGGAGAGGAGAATAAAAGCTGTGTGTTTAAAAGTGTGTCGGTGTCTGTTCAGAAGAGTTGTTTAAGATATCATGGCTTCTGGCTTAAATTGCAAAGGGAAGTGAAGTGCGCATGGAACCTTAGCAACATAGCAGCACGTGCAACATATGAGACAGGCTTTTTTAAAAAGACCTGTAATTAAGTAAGTGGAGCCGGTGTTTTATGAGCACCAGAACAAATGGGATCTGGTTGAAGCTTTCTAAACAGCCTTTCATGCGTCAGAATGCCAGGAGAGGAAAACATAATTTTTTTGCATTTGTTTTTATGCATATGTTCACTGCCTTCTATTGCAACCTTGCTTTTCTTCGAAACCTTTTTTTAGTAAATAGATAATAAAAATATGCTTGTCAGGGTACTAGCTTATCTGGAATGAGATGACAGACTTTTCATTCAAAATAAATGATGGCAACTTAATGTAAAATACTTTATATTATTAATAATCTGCAATCTGTCTTCTCCACCTTTCAGATCAGCTGTTCCACGTGTTGGCCATGCACATGCGCCTCTACAGTATAGACTCTGCGTACAATCCTTGGAGGAAACTGACCCAGCCAATACAGGATAAAAATTCAGAGCAAGTATTTTAATTTATCAAGTATCAGTTTTACCTTGTGAAAGAAACATCCTTACAGAGGGACTTTGGGTATCTTTCTTTTGGGTAACTAGTTTAAATTCTCTGTGAGGTAGGCTGATGAACTTCATGCTTAAAAGTTGTAGGTATAAATTTAAAAAAAAAAAAAAATTTTGAATGTCTTTTACATAAAATCTGACACATTCCAGTTCTGAGTTAAAGCTTAAGCACACCACTTGCAAGCTTAAGCACATGCAAATTTAGTAGTATTGGGTAAGTGGATAGGCACACTGCTGTTCTTGGTGCAGATGCTAGACAAAATTTACATTAAGTTCACTAATAGTTTATTGAAAATGGGGCAATGACTAATAGCTGTTGCAGAAGTAACATAAGTAGGCCTAATACATGCGAGAAGTAATTCTACTTTAAGCTAAAAATTTTCCTCATGCTTGTTATTTTAAATAAGTTATTTACCTAAGTTTGCTTCTAAAACATTAACCTGTACAAAGATTAACAGTGGAGCCATGTATCTGTGTTCTGCAAGGGCTCATATCCCGACTTAAGAGCCTTCTCTTTTCATATTGTACCTTGATGGTGAAAATAAAGGTTTCTTGCCTAAACAGAGATGATTATTTTTCCTCATAAGAGGAAAATTGTTTTGTTTTGTTTTTTTTCCTTTTTGCACATAGAGCATCTTCATAGCTAAGGTCTCCACTTTGTGGCTTGCAGTAATGTTGAAAGACTGTCTTCTTAGTGCCTATGCAGCTCTGTATTTGTCAGTGTGTTTCTAGGAGCCTGAGGTAGAAAGCATTGTGGAATTTCCAGAATCGATCTAGGACAGTGATGCCACAGTCCTAATCTGCAAATTAGGAAAAATTATTGAAACTATTGTGCTTGCTTCTAGTTTGAGATTTTACTGTTTGTCCTCTTGGACCCAGGTCTCTTTTTGCAATCAACATCAGATTATTGCAAATGGTCTATAAACTGTACTGTTAATTAATTAAACTAGATTAACAGAACAGTTTATAGACCATTAGCAGAACAAAGCATCAAGAATTTTATTACCTGAAAACCTATGTCAGTCAGCATGCATTCAAACCACTTTGTGAGTCTGTTTACTGTGATTCTGCCCTGACCTACGTGTATGGTTGACTGAGTAATACCAGGCAAAATTAAGATCGTGTTGCTAGGCTGTTGGCAGGCAGAATGGCTGCAGGACTGATTGTGCACTTCTCATTTGGGAATTTCAAGAGCTTGCTGGCTTTGGAAGCAGCTGTTAATAGAGGGGCTGCTTTTTCTTCATGCTCAACTTTTTTTCACCCTTACAGACTTGATGGAATTCACCTTGCGTTGGTCATATTAAGATTAGATTGCTGCAAGTCAGGTTTCATTAGGCAATATTTTGAATCACCTGGAAATTAATGGTACAATAGGCTATACAGGCTTGCTTCACAGGAGGTGTTGCATATTGAGAATGCATTTAAGCAATTCTGTTGTTTTCTGCGCTGGTTTTCAAGATTTCTTGTTGGACTTGCTGATACAGATTTGGCACTACATCCTTAATGGTTTAGGAGGCTACAGCTGAGAGATCATCCATTTTGCCATGAAGCAGTTTACTGTTGGGATGCACAGATGCAGTTGTGCTGGAATTTTTTTGCTGCTGCTTCAGAATGTTTTTCCTACCTTAATCTGCAGGTCCCAGAAAGCTGCAGAGGAAGCAAGTTGGGGACATGTTTTTAATGTATAAATTAGAGCATAAGATGTATATCCGTAATTATATTTTAGAATTTGAAGTTGTAGTTGCACTGGAAGATGGCATTTATAGCATGGTGTGTATGATCTAATTGCACAATTCTTAGTCACCCAGCTTTCTGAGAAATCCAGAATAGCAAACTTCTTCAGTTACAGGAAAGAATGCTCAGAGCAATTAGAAGGTTTTACACTCACTGCTCTAAACTGAAGAAGATTAGAGGATGGTGGAAAAATAACCACTGCAGATTTTAGATGTTGATAGCACTCTGCCATTTTGAAGCTAACCAAGTAATCTAAATCATCAGCTGGACTGGCACATTGGGCACATGAGACTTTAAGAAGAAACTTGTAAAAAATCAATGAGAAGAAAAGATCTGTATTATCTGACTGTATTACTGTGATTGAAATAATCTAAGATCAGGAAAGTCACAGGAGCAAAATAACTTTAAACCAACATGCTATCCTATTTAATTTTTACTTACGGTTATTATTTCAGTTGAAAACAGTTTTCCATAGAAGTTACTTGTGTTTTATTTATTTAAAAGGATAGTTTTCAAAGCTAAAGTAAGTAATCAATCTATGGAATTCAAATGCCATTGCATTACCTTTTCACTCTTACTTAGTTGACATTACTTGATTTAAATATACGTAAATATTTACAACTAGAACTATCCAGTAGCTTGGTTTTACACAATTCAGCTGTCATTATTCATAAATCATGCCTTAGGTTTCATGTGTCTGGGAGAACTGATCAAAGTAATTTATAAAGACTCACAGAATTGTTCTACTATACTTCCCAAAGCCCCTGGTTTTGCGCGGTGTCATCTTCTACTAGATCGCTCCGTAGCTGAAAATGGCAGCTGAGAGGAAAGATAGGAAGGAGCTCATGCAGTCACGCCAAGGTAAAGTAGAAAAAAAGAAATTCTGATCAAGAAGATACCCTTTCAGAAAGGGCCTAATCAATGTGAACTGTTCGAAGGAAGGGGGAGGAGAGGGAAGATGAAGCTAACTCTGATGAACTGTGATGGTATAGTGGATTCTTTCTCCTATGCAGTTCTTTGGTCCCACGGGCTGTGTTTAAGCAGATTGTTCTTCTATGGACAGATCTGGTTCCAATGGTGATCAAATAAACAATTATTGTGGTGTAAGTGGAATAATAGCTTCTGGCAGGGGGCAGAGAAGGAGCAGCTGGAGGCAATAATTACTGAATCCAGATGTGGATTTAATGCACTAGTCTGAATAGCCGGAGTTTCAGGAACAGCAAACCTGAAATAAAAGGATATAATGTTTTTTTAATTTACATCTCTAAAAAGCCTGAAATTTTTGTGTCTGTTTTGACAGACAGAATATGTTGGCAAAGAACGATATGTTAAAGCATTAAGGATCTTTGCAGTAGAAGCACTTGCGGGGGTGAAATGCGTGATAAACTGAAATGCTGAAACATACTGGGTTATTTTTACCAGAGTGTTTTGCTGATGTTTTGTTCTAAGCTAGATTGCTTGGGTGACTGTTTACAGTGTCATACTGGGGCAACAAACTGCAGCACAGGGATGGGAATGAGCAAGTGTGCGTGGGAACCTCTTGAGTCACATCTCCATCACAGAAAATGGGAAATGGGAAAAATAGTTTTTATGAAGATACTCTAACGCAGACAGAGAGTAGGATGACGGGACACCGGGGTTTAGTTAAGGTATGCGCAAGAGGTGGTATATACATACACATGCTGCAGCAGGACTTACGTGATCTATTCAGTAAACACAACTGCTGCCTGAAACACTGGTGTCTCGGACATATGTTATGAAGGGGAGATTTTGATGGTAATGCCAGCTCCAGGAATGCTTGCTCTCGGCTGTTTCTTCTTTCCACTGTGCTGCAGCTCACCATCTTCTTCAGCCCCGCTGATACAATTTTCGCAGGCTGCATCGCCATGTTTTTAAAAAGGTTAATTTGAGTAAGTTTGGGAATGGGTGACAAGGGAGCGCTGGGGGCACAGTGGTGAAAGAGAGAAAGGGAGATGCCTGCTGTTAGTACTGCCAGTGAAATCCTGTGTTGTATAAGGAGAAAAACTGACTTGCTGTAAAATCTGCTGTGACACAATGAAAAGCAAATATGAAATTGTGATTATATCCTAGAATGTACCCAGAATATAGTAGAATTCTACTTTCTTAACCATGAACATCAGAAGCTGTGTATTCCTCTGACCTTTCTGCAGGCTGGGGCTTGTGGGCTGTATTTCTCCTCCTGCAATTTCTGAAGAGAATATAAGTTTGTCCTAGTTGATTAAGCCTTCAGCTGCATCCATATCCCTGTGTCCCAGGTTTTCTTTATCTGACAGTTCAAAGAGGTGTGAGGCTCAAACCTAGCACTTTATTGAATTTCTAACTTTATAATCAGTTGGAGTTAGTATCAAACAAAAATCTTAAGTGTCTGTAGCTGAGAGACAAGGGGGAAGGGGAGGGTATATGTAAGGAAAGGCCATAAGTAAATGCTGCTTGTTGTGGAGTAGAACAGAATTTTCTGTTCTTCTGTATCCATTCCCAAAGAAGTGATTCTGCTATAACCTCTATTAGGAGGAGGATGCAGAATACAGAGGCAGAGTTGCTCAGCTGTCAGTGGACAGACAGCTCTGGTATTGGCACAGAGTGAGGTGCAGCCAATTACCTTGGACTGGAGAAAAGGTCGGTTCCATGAAGTGGAGCAAAGCCTTTTTCTTTTTGGTACATGTTCATATTGCAACGTATAGTTTATTTCCCCCTCTGTTTTTTTAATGGATTCAGTATACAACTATAATATATTTGAATCATTTTATATTACTTTGGTCTCATCTGCAAATGTACTTGCTTTCATTTTATTCGGTGCTTGTGTGGCACATTTTTTTTGTGAAGTCAGATTTATCAAGCTTTCACATGTGCATTGGGGATTATCAGCATGGGCAATTTCCATAAAACACGTTTCTAAACACATTTTATAAATTCAGTTTCAGTGTCATAATGAAGAAATTGCTTAGGCTCTTAACAAATGACAGAGCAATTTTTAAGTGCTTCATATGCTGCAGCACTTGACGTCAACGGAAGCAGCTTATCTAAAACCCTGGCATTTAATGTAGCTTTACTTCTCCAATTCATATGAAATGAATAAATTAGTCAAATAATTCACTTGGTCCTGCCCGTGGAAATGAGTTCATTTATTTGTGATGCTGCAAGTTAGTCATGGTATTCTGTATGTGTAAGTCCTGATTTTACCAGGACTAGTATTTGACCTAATTGTTACATGACTGCTAAATGATACTGATGCTGATACCCCTGTCAGAAAGAGGTGTTCAACTACATGTGACCAGAGGGAGTGAATTTTTTTTGTCTTGCTACTATCCCAAATTATTTTTCCCTAATTTCTATGTAAATTAAAAATTAAAGGTGAGAAGGAATTTTAAGAGCTGTCCATGGTTTTAAAGTCATTATCTAATGAGGGCTATTTTAAAACTTAGTGTCAGAGATCGTAAAATAGAACTAGCCATAGGTGAAGGTAGAATTAGGGAGACTTAGTGAGATTAACATCATCTTTGCCTGTATAATTTTGAAAGTAAGACTTGGTAGTGTAGGGGGCACAATGTTTGCCCGCTCTGTCTTCTTTAGAATTCAATATACTGATTGGTAGATTTTGTTTGTTTGTTTAGCAGGGGCCCATGTATAATTATGTATGTTACAGTGTTTTAAAACAATCATTTCATAAAATGATTGATGATAGTGGAAGGTGTTCTAGATGGCATTTGTTCTGTAGCTGTTTGGGTTCATTAATTCAAAAAGACCAGTTAGACCATGTTTTCTGTGACTTCATTTTATAAAACCAGTCAACCGTGTGCAAAAAGTGTTCTTTTAATCCTCCTCTTACATGACTGCTTCTGCGTGTTAAAATTCTGATCACTCCTAGCAGTGCCTTTTGTAGAGAGAAGTCTTGAGTTTTCCTGACATCAGTAATGATGTAGAGGTCTCCTTCCAAATGTAGCAGCATGTTTATGTGCCGCAGAGACGATGAATTGGTTGGATCCCCAAAGCTGACAGAAGGCACTAAGGATCGCCTGCATGCATCCACACCCCGCTGCATGGGGACAGCCTTTTCCAGCATGTGGTCTGCAGGAATCAGTTTGTCTGGTGTGTGTGTGTGTGTGTGATAGATGGCACGAAGGGGAGTCATCAGCTGAGCTAGTGGAGTAGCCAGTGCCAGCCAAGTTGGGTTAGAGGAAGAGTTTGGTGCCCTGGGAAGAGGCAGTAGTTGGATCCAGCGGTAGTTCATCAGCTGTGCTCTAAAAGGGCAGAGCTGAGACAGAAGAGAACTTCAGTGTCTTGTCTGCATGTTTGCTCAATCTGATTCTGTTTGTACAGAAACTTGGGCACTTGCTGCAGGGCTTAGGAAAGCCTCACTGGGAAACTAGCCTGTAGCTACAATAGGTAAGGGAAGGGAGAACTGTATTTGGCTTCTGCAAGCTTGATATAAAATTTAATGCTATTTAAAACAAAATACGAAAATGGGTTTATATCAGAAATGATTGTCTTCGGGTTTTCTTTTCAGGCTAAGTGAAGAACTGCCAGAAGTTCCTGTACTTTACAGAGATGTCTCATCCCTTTTGCTTATCCAGATTTTAACCATGCCTCAACCATTGCACAAAGGTATGTTACAAAAATATGTATATTTAGATGCTTATGTGTATGAGGCTGCATTCATGGTGATTTCCATGGTAAATCATAGCTGGTTGACTGCGTAGTCTAAAATAACGTTTCTGCCTTACCTAGAGAAGGTGGCATTGAGCAGAAATTTCTGTTGTGGGTTGACAGGTTTTTCTGTGTCCCCTGTCTTCTCCCTTATCAGTCAGTCTATTCATTAAAGATATAAGAGCTGAGCAAAAACTATTACGTACTTTTACTGAAGGAAGTGTCCTTTGTTTAACCTTCATCTCTTTGCTTAGAGGGGCAGCTCAATGCTTGAAGGTGAACTGAGTGCCTAAGGGTGAAAGATTGTAATTTAGTTTAAATTTCAGACTTTAAATTACAGCAGCCTTACATAATAAGAGGTCAGATATACAGATGGTAATTGCTGTGATGCAGCAACTTCAATAGAGACAGCATACAGTATAATTTGGAATAAATATTAAGTAGATACTTAAGAACTGAATTTTTCATTACTAAAAGTAAAAGTGGTTTAAACCTAAATTTCTTTTTCTGTATAAAAGGAAAAGCTGGACTTTGTATGTCTTGTTAAGAGAATGTGTATGCTCCAGAATGGATAGTTCAGACCCTCAGGGCTCTGGCTTTATCATTTACAGCAATACCTTTAGTTAAAACAAGGATGAAAAAAACAAGTCTCCTTTTACTACTTCATGGACAATGAACTGGATATCTGCTTTGGGGTCTGTGTGGCAATTCTGGTATCTACTGAGTTTTGCTAGTTTGTGAGTAGGTAAATACAAGGACCGATCTGTTCTTGACGCACACACCTAACTTACAGAATAAAGTAGAAGCTCTGTTTTCCCCTTAAGAGGTGTTTAGTCCTCACTATTGAGTGTTCAAATTCAGCTCAAGTGACCCTGTGTGTATCTGTGAACATTGTGGGTTGTGGTTTTTCAATTCAATGTACATGTTTATGGATTAAGTATGTCCAATAAGTTGCTAGAATATGAAAATACCAGGAGAATAAAATATTTCTGAATAGGAAGGCTATTGTCAAAATATTTTTTTCTTTTGTTTTTAACTACAGTTTAACTTAAATTTTATTGGAAGGACTTAATAAAAGCAGTTAATGGAAGTTTGATGAGACTAACACTTTCCGCAATACATGGAGAAACTTGTTCAAGCATTAAAAAATGGTATTTATGAATATACACCTTACCCTAGGAAAGACAACATTCAATTAGTAGTGAGGCATCCTGTGGAGAATTGTGTAAAATACCACACAGCAGCAGCGTGTTTTGCCATTGCTCTTAGGTTTGGTGTATGTTACAGTTGAAAGGGAAATGGCAAGTAGCAGGAAGAAGATGAATGTAACCACTTCAAATCTGTGAAGCAATAAATTGGAAATAAATTGGCATTTATCTTTCTAAATTTATGTTTAATTTAAATGGTTAGGCAGAATAAAAAGAAATTCTTTAATCATTCTTTGTCTTGAGGTGTAAAACAGAGTTCAGAAAAACAGGAAATAATTTGTTTAGAACATTTGTAGGTCACAGAGTTGGATTTGGTATCATTAATTCTTGGTAGAAAGCTGAGGCATGACAAAGGTAAATGGCTTGTGCAGGGTCACGTGGCAGGTCAGTGATAGGGAGGAACAGAATCTACTTTTGACCCTGCTGCTTCCTGAGCTTTCTGTTCTGCTTTGGCTTTATTGTGGGGTGCAGGAGCTGTGGACTTGGCTGGACCACCAGTATGCAGGGGGAGGGTTGGTACCTGTGTGCATTGATGAGTATTTCCAGTACATTCCTGTAACAACAGACTTAACTGTCAAAAGAGTTGCAGTCTGGTGTTGCAGTCTGGTGCAGGATGCCATGGTGATGGTCTTGGAACACTAATAATAGAGGAAGAAGGCAATGAAAGGGATTTAGAATCCATGAAAGATTTTTCTTCCTCTTTCAGCATCGGCACTCCTGTAGTGGTACTGGGTTTGTAGTAGAATGTATTAGGTATGTTGATGTATTCAGAGAAACCGTAACTGCGCCTTACAGGAAACTACAACTGTTCATCAGGTATAAAATCTTTGTGCTCAAAATCCTTTTTGTTTACACAGTGTTTTTAAAAACACCGAGTGCTCTGTAAGGAGGGCTCACATTTCATCTCTTGCCCTTCAGATGCAGCACTAGGAATCGCATTAACTACCCTATTAACTGTTGGATGGGTGTTAGCATCTTTTTTTCTTTCAATCCAATATCAGTTAAAGCAATAAAAATGTCATTACTGTTGGGCCTCTTCATTCAGAGAGAAAAATTGATCTGAACCCATCACAAAGAAAGAACACTACAAATGAAATCTTTTTTGTTATGGGAGAAACTTCGTGGTAGAGGTCAGAGCACTTACAAGCACTTACCAATTTATAAAGAAGTGAATGAAGAAGATAGCGTGTACTTCCCCTGTGGTCTAACCAGCAAAATAAACACTGTGTTCAAAATACTCAAACTGTTTGTGAAAACTTTGTTGTTGTTGTTTGACACAGAACATGGGCAGAGCTCTCATAGGCTTCGTATGCTCAGCATTTTGAAAGTGCACAAGCCTAATTATATCATAATCCACAGTGGAGTTTCTGATTTAATTCTGCGGCAGTTGTGCAGAGGATAGGCAGTGTTCATGGTGTTGCAAACTGGGACTCCGTGGAAAATGAGGGTTCTTTTTCTAGAGCATCTAGCTCCTTCCTTACAGGAACAACACAAGGCAGTGTGTATGAAGAAACGTAGTACAGAAATGGAGACAGTGGCTTTGTGTTTAACAAAACTTAAATCTGTCCTTTTAAATTGAATTCTGCACCCTCACAACCCCTTTCTGCATGTTTCTGTATGTTGAACAAGTCATTTAATTTAAATCGGACATGATTCTTTGTTACCATCAATTGGAAAAAAAGTAAATTATTTTCCCAGTCCCAGTGAATTGGGACCCCTGTGACCAGATTTGTAGAAGCTCAGAGTGCTCAGAGCTTCCAGTGGCTTCAGTTTCTGCTTTGCTCTGAATGTAAAGAAGGAAGGCACAATATTTAAAACCTGGGGTCTGGGTGAGCCTGAGGCTGGCAGGTGCATGGAACCGGTGGTCACTGGCCAGCAGTGGCCTGGTGCTGTGTGTGGTGCTGCACATGCGAGCGTCATGCAGCAGCCTTGGCTTGCTCCAACATAGGCCACAGTGCTGCTTTTACAAGAGCTGCACCTTGGGAGTGGTGGATGTGCTCCAACTTGAAAGCTGTGTTTGAGGGTTAGCCCAGCCTCTCTGGACTGTAGGAAAGGTTTTCCTTTCTCTGGTGAATTTTTTTCCACCTGAATTCAGCCCCTTTTTTTGTAGTTCTGGTAAGACCAGATGCTGAAGAATCTTCTCCGATGTTCTGACACATTCTTTTTCTACAAAGTTTCAATGACAGGCAACAAAAATACAGCAAGCAGCACTAAGGCAAACACTAACACTTTCCTTTAATGATTGGATAAAGATCTTCACTAAATATAGAATGAATGTAATCAACTTGAATAGCATCCAGTTTCTATGTGGAAGCTGAAATATTTATCTCTATCCTGGAACTTGAAATATACCTTTCATGGATTATCTGAAGTTCAGTGCAGTCTCCCTTTGTTCTGAAGCTGTTTTTTCAAGTAACTCTTCAAGCTCTAGATCAAGAAGAATATTTTCAAAGGTTATTTAAATAAAGTTGCCTTTCTGAATTAACTAAAAAAGGTCCAAGTTCCTTAATTTTGCATTTGGTTTGCTTTGTGGATTCTTTCTGCAGTCACTGCCTGCCAGCATATATATAAAATTTGATACTGAAACTAAAAGATGCATATTGTCAGTAATACACTTATTCATCTGAACATTTCTTGCACTAGTGTTAAAATTAGAGTTCTAGAAGTGTTTCCTATGTAAACCTTACTTTTAAAGGGGCTTATTTAATACATATAATGGGATGGGATGCTGTGAAATAATTTGGTTCCAGAATTTGCTTTAAAAAGTTTTAAATATAGGAACATAAAAGCGTTTCTCAATACTGTTCAAAAATGCTGCATTAACCCGTGTTCTGTTTCTGATGGCCTAACCGTAATAATACTGCTTTTAGACTGTCAGAACATTAGATTAGGGGTTTTATGTACAAACACAGAATTCCTGACTGCATTTTAGTGCAGAACATTGCACAGTAGGTTACTCCACAGCATACAAATATACCAGCAACCTTTAGAATTATTAAATAGAAATGATGATGTAGCAAAACCACAGCCTGCACCAAGGGGGCAGCAGGACGACACCACACATTCCCACACAAATAAGAGGTAACACGTAGTAGTGAACTTATAGTTGATCCTCTGGTGTTTTTAGTATGTCTCCCATAGGATGATTTTGTGACTGTAAAATACTTATTTTAAAAGCCATGGCACTTGCTGCGCAGCATAAAAAGTTTGTGCAGAAGTCAGGACTTAAGCGTGACCCAGATGTGTGTGTGTTTTGTCCAATTCTGGACTCTCAAAAAAATGAAAGCCATAGTCATTTATGATCACACACATATAAGTAAATACAAGAATGTGAATTTATTTTTAAAAATGGTTGGAACTAGATGATCTTTTAAGGTCCTTTCCAACCCAAACCATTCTATGATTCTGTATAGTATTTCTAGTGAATTGAACAATTAGTATTAAGGTGGGGATAGGGACAAGGAGTAATTACAGTTAACAAAAACTAGGTTTTAAAAAATGTCCTATTTCCAGAGGGTGCTGAGACACCCAGTGTTGATCCCTGTGTAAATCACCTCAGTAGAGCAGGAGGAGAACTAGAAGACAAAGTGGGCTATGGCAGGTTGGTGACTGTTGACCGGTGACTAGTTTTGCTGCTGTAAGCACAGTGGTTTTCATTAATGCTTTCACAGTGTAAAATTGGTCTCTATCACTTGTACCTGCTGTTGATGGAGATAGAGCTCAGTACTTGAGTTTAAGTCTAGCTACAATTACAGACTGTAGCTCAGGCTGAAGGGGCAATTTTTACAATTCTGTGAGTGCATGTTGTTTAATCTTGTAGATCTCACTCCTAGAAAATTTACTGAAAGCTTGCCCACTATTGTTTCTCAGGAGGAGGATTGCTAAGAAAATGGAGGTTTCAGCAAAAGAAGAAAGTAGGGCCTAGAGATGTAATGGGATCTGGTGAATTCTCCTTCTGGGGAAATGTGGAGAGGAAAAATCATTATAATGCTACCTGCTCTAGAATGGGGCAGGTGAAGTATAGCAGCTTTTCTCGTCATGTTTGACATAAGCTCCATGGGAAGATAATACAGAAAAAAGTATGCTTTCAATTACATAGTTAAAAATGATCGTTTAGGTGCTTAAATTGTGCTGCTTGTATGTACATAGTGACATTAAGAAGTTCTATGTTGATTGTAAACATTTGTTAGATAAAAAAAGCAATTGTTGTTTCACAGATTTAATTACGTACTCATGTCCTGGCTGGATTTGTTTTAGAATCCTGTAGTGGGTTTTGATACTAGATACAAGAAAGGAGAAGCAAGGAGTTTCATCTCCTTACCTCCTTTTAATTTTCACATACAAAGCTTGTTTTAAGTCCTTTGGGAAGAAAGAAAGAATGTAACCTAGTTTTTGTGAGGTGCTTATGTAAATAAAACTGTTTTACTTGACTTCAGAGCCTGAGAGGACTCTTTAAAAACCCTCATTCTTTTATAAAATGTTTCAGATAATATATTATAGTTATGTTTGTGCTTAAGGGATGGTGTAAATGATGATAGAAATTCTTTGATCTGCCTACATTTAAAAAAAAAAAAAACAAAACAGATTATTTGGGCTGGGAAATACAAGCTAAAGTAAAAAGAGAAAAAAGGATTGCTATTGAAAAAAATGGAGGAAAAAAAAAAGAGGAAAGGATATGGCATAGTCTCATTTCAGAGACTGATTGCTTTCACCTTTTTTCCTGTTCCAATTTTAGGAAGCCTTGTTTTGCCTCTGCTAGTTTTCCCAAAAACATTTCAAAGCTCTTCTCCTGCAGTCTGTATGTAGGAGATAATAGTCCTTTAAATATAGAAGAAATTGTAAACAACAAAGATTTTTCACAAGAAGGTTAAGTTCTAAAATGACAGTCTGCCTTTTGTCCTCCTCCTGTGTTCAAGTGAGGTTCACTAAATAGGTACTCACTGAAGAGTGATTTGCAGGAAGTCTTATATAGCTGGATTTGTATCTGGAAGCGAAGGGGTAGAAACTGGAGTATGCTCAATGTCCTTGCAGTGATTTCTTTGGGAACTTTAACTTTCTAGTATTTGTATGAATGTAACTTAGCCCAGATGGTTTAATCATTGCCAGCAAAGATGGTAGGATATGCATTTGCTTACATCTACAGCACCCAATTAGTCGTAGCTATCAGTAATCAGTCGCTTCACCTGATGTAACGTTTGGACAAAATAGAATTTGTAATATCACCAGGTCCCTAGGAGGAAGTCACTGCTGATCAGGATTAAGACGAACATACGGAGCAGTGAAGAATTAGTTGCCCTGTACTTGTTCCATTCACTATGGTTGCCAAGTCATTTCTGAGAGCCAGGAAATGTATTTATGTTGGTTTGTATGTTTTCAGGTTTTGTAATTTTAGTAAAGTGCTTGCTTTTCATTTGAGAAGCATAATTTCAATAACTAGAGATTCTGTGATCAGTGTATTTGTTAAAAATATCAAGTGTTTAAAAATTACTTTCTTTGTTTTCCAGAACACTTCACCTGCATTATAAAAGTGCTGTTCACTTTATTGTATACTCAAGCCTTGGCAGCACTTTCTGTTAAATGCAGTGCTGAAGATAGGATGGCATGGAAAGAGTCAGGAGCTCTCAAAAAGGTTGGTTAATTTATTAAACCATTTATGAAATTTTGCTTATGTATTTCTGGTAGGAATGTAACACATTCTTCTGCTTTGCATGTAATAACTTGCTTCACAATAATCCAGTATTTTGTTTCTGCGTGTGCAATTTTTGAAGGTTTTGGTGTATGACAAGACTTAAAAGCTTCACAGTGAATATTTAGTTCCAGAACTGAGCTTCAGGCTTGAGGCTGTATCTCTATAGTTTCAGTCTTGAGTTTGTTGCAATGGTATCGAATAAATGCAGCTTTCCTTCCTGTAAAATTGGAAGCCTTGCTAGACAAACCGTGGTTTGATCTGATGTATTCCTTTACAGGGAAAGCAGGCAAACTTGGTGGTGGGGGAAAAAGCTCTTGTCTCTTTCTTATTTATTCATGCTATTTGTGGCGAGCCATATAAATTTCTGTCAGTATGTGGTCTAGAGTGCTCATGTGGTGAAGAGGTAGAGAAGGAAATTTGTAGACTAGGCAGGTAGATCTCTCACTATTCGTTTCCTTGCCTTTTGGTAGTATTTACAAGGAAAGTGAAGGCACTTCTTGCTATTTTCACTTAGCTGATTGAGTGCCAGTTCCCACCATAAGACACAGTTCCCTGCATTGGCATTCATTTAATCCTTCAGTTAGTTTTCTGCTGCATGGACTGATTCCCCAGAAGGTCAGAAGAATGCCAATGCCAGACTAAGGGAAAAGATGGAAGTGTTGGGGCCAGGAGAGGAAATGGGTGGAGGAATACCCCTTTAGACAACAGCTGGGCCTTAGATTGTGTTGGCTGTAACATGAAATGCACGCTGAGAAGCATAACCTGCTTTTCACATAGAAGTTAAGACTGTCATACTGGTCAGTCGCAACTTCAAGGTATTAGGGGCAAATTATCTGCTGCTATGCAGGGTTTGTTTGTTTTCTGGGCTTGCATTAAGCATTCGAGATCCCTGTGCAGTGCTGCATTTCGTTAGCTCCCTCTCCATCCTTTTCTTTGAATATATTTTCTTAGAATTTCAGGAACATTTCCTTTAGATTCTTGCTGGTGAGGGTGTTTTCCATTTTTCTCTTTACTTAAGTGATTCCCAAGTGATAGATAATTTTGCAGTTTGAAATTTGTGGTCTAAATAAAGTATTACCAGCTTACATTCTTTCATAGTTCATATGATAAACATGGACTGCCTTTTTTGTTGTAGCAGAGGTTGGAGTTTATCTGAACATATATTTACAATGCTTAATTTTCTGTCTACCGTGACAGGTTTTACTGTATGAAAATACATATAGGGCATCTGCTAGGTGAGCTTGCTGCCTATTAATTCTAAGAACTTATCTTGTAGAAGCATATGAAAGCATTTGCTTCACGTAAAGAGCTTTGTACTTGAGGCTTGCAACTTATGATAATGGCTCAAATAATGAATTTATGAAGTAACCATCTGTCTCGATACCAAAGACAGTCCATTTTAGTGGAATTTTCACTAGTGTGCTTGTCTTTGGATGGTAAGGCTGAGTGGGAAATAGCACATTAAACAGTATGTTACTGTGAATGGATGCTGTGTTTTAGTCTGATTCAAATAACACAACAGAGTAACTTCTGTCAGTGATAATCTGCCCCCAGTGCAGAGGCTTTGCAAAAATCCCACATGCAGGTTTGCCCTTCCCCAGATGTCCAACTTCCTGCTCCTTTGCCTGCATAATGTTGCTGCCTGGACTTTCGTGTGTGCAAGAGGCCTCTGAGCACAGAGGACCGGCAGCAGTAATCGCACGACTTCTTATTCCTCTCTCCCAGCCCTTTAGCAGCCCTTTTCTTCTTGAGCCTGGCCATAGGCCTCAGATGAATTCTCTCTCTTAGCATGTCATCAGAGAAGCTGGTTTTTAGTTTAGGAATCCAGGCTCTCTTTAAAGTTTCTTGAGACCTAAATGATTTAAAATGTATGTTTCAGGCTGGCTTTTTCTTACGTGCTTGATAATATTGACATTTTGACTACACCTTACTTGACTCCTGTCTGTGCATAATGTTAAGAGGCTCTACTTCAGTTTGGTATTCCAGCCATTAAAACATGAATTGAAGTCTTGTCTTCGCATTCACACCGAATGATCAAACAACTATAGGAGTTTCATTTCTCAGCGGGGCTAAGAGATGGATATTCTACTTTTGATTCCCAACTTCCCACTCATTATCTTTGCGAGAAGCCTTATGTTGTTGTAAGAAGCACACTGTAAATGCTTGTGGAGAAAATTTCCAGGAATAATGTAGATGAGAGGTTTGTCCTAACTGCCAGTTTCAATACGTGTTGCCTTCTGGCTCTTGGACTGTGAGCATGAACAGTGAGTCTGCCTTCCCGATGCTGAAACGTGAAGGCCCCATCTTAAATCAACAATAACAGTTGATGTCAAAATGCACTTAAGAAACCAACTGATGAATTATGTACATTGTTATGTACTGAAGTCTTTATAGATCTAATCTCACGTAGCTGCTTTGGAATTGTTTTAAAGAAGCCCAGTAACGCTCCTCTCCATCATTGTTTTTTATGTTGATGATACACTAACAGAGCTCAGAATTCACATCCAACCGTGTTATTCCTGGGTAGGGTTTATTATGACTTGAAACAAAAATATTTATGTGAATACTGCTTTCTATTTCTCATGGCTTTCTATAATCGTTGCCTTTAAATGTAAATGCTGTGGCACAAAGCTAAGTGGCTCTTTATTCTTTCAACTAAATATTTCTTTCCATCTGTAGTAGATATTGTTCATTCCAAACATAATTTTCCATTTTATGAGAGACTCATTTCGACTTAAAATGCATAGCAATTGTTTTGGAACTCGTTCTGGTTGGTACATTTTAGAAAATTACTACTTTTTTAATTAGCTGTATTAGAATTCAAATTCTGTCAAAACACAATGCATCCATGAAGTGATTCTCCCTAATTTTAAAGTAAGCATTTTTATATTTGCAGAAAAGACCAATGGAAATGCAACATTATGAAAGTGTTTTCATATAACACTCAGTTTAGAATACATGTAATTGAAGTAGCAATTCCCATTTCACTCTGTGAGGTAAATGCAGTCCCGTTTGTAGAATTTCTTTTCTTTTTTTTTTTTTTTTTTTTTTTTTTTCCTAAAATCAGCATGTATCTTTGTAGGTCAAAATCCCTGTGTTGAACAAGAGGAAATGTACCTCATCACTGTTACTTTTACCAGGAAGTTTTTCTCCTTTTCATGACCACTGCATTTTGGATTTCTTTCCTTCTTATTTGCAGAATACGTCCAGTGGAGAAAAATCTTGGGAAGTGTTACTGGGTCATGTGATGAGTGAGCTGTCTAAGGGGAAGATGTATGAAGAAGGAGAGACTGAAGAATTAACAGTGGTATTGGCAAATCTCTTGAGAAGCTATCCAGCATGACCCCTTTCTGTCTCTTATTTAAGTTTTTCAGCTTCCTTGTTAAAATGATTTTTCTCTGATCTTGCTAAAGGCTGCAGTACAACTCCTCATTTCCTAGATCAAAGCACATCCCTTTGGGACAGTTTGCCTGTGCAAATCTTTCTTTTACTAATATTGTATGTGGCCGGTGCTGTGCTGGGAAATTTATTGACAAATACTTCTTTATAATTGTGGGTTTTAATCGTATGTATAAAAGACCTTTCAGAAACTTGGAAAACTGAATATTTAAGTAGGAAAAACATTTGTCAAGGGGGACAGAAAACCCACAGTTATTTCAGATTATTAATGAAATACTGGCCTTTGGAATGTGTGATTGATGCAATAGTTTATATAGTATGCTAAAAAACTTTTTTTCATATTGGAGTTTCTTACATTGCAGACAGCTTATCTGGGGCAGAATTTAGTAATTGCTTCCTTCCTCCATAGGTAAATCCTGACTCTGTAGAGTGCTATCTGCAGCAGTTCTGCCTGCCTTTCCTCAGGATCACAAGCCTTCTCCAACATCATCTTTTTGGAGGGGATTTACCTAGTTGCCAGGTACAGATTGAGAGGGGCACACTCATATTTCCATTTAAAAGCTAGAGATCAAAACTTAGACTTTTAAGGTGTTTTTTTCATAGTATATATTTTCTATCCTAAGATTATTTCAAAAATCATTTAATAGCATTGCTCTCCAGAATTTGTTTTCTATAAATCTGCTTTCAAGGCAGTTTCCCTGAATCCCAGTATTCTTAAAATTTGGCAAAGACATGCTTATTTATCAGATTGTAAATGCCTGTCTCATAACGTACCAACATACTTCTAAACTTGTCCAGCATTTGCAGAGATGGCATATTTTCCACACAGACTGGAATTCAGCCCTGATTTTGCTTAATGCCTGTTAATGTTTGGACTTTATTCTCAGAGATGTTGCATCAGGGGACAATTATGTTTAAGTTCCATGGCTGATTTAAGTACAGTTTGCTGGAGGTCAGCTTCCTCATTTCCTTGCTTCAAAATCATCTCATCTCTAAATCAGCTAGAAGCCAGTTTCAGGTGCTAAACAGGAAGAAAATTATAGGGGAGTTGAGAGTTTTCTGTTTTGTTTGTGTTTTTTGGATTTGTGGGTTTGTGTGGGTTTTCATTGGGGTTTTGGGAGGTTTGGGTTTTTTTCATTGAGTAGTTTTCTTGAATTTTGAAAATTCAGTTTAAGTTAACGTGGAAAAATTGGAAGCTTTCTGCGTCTCTAAACATGGTTATTAGCGTCATTGTACCAGAACGTCTTTACTTTTGTAATTGGAATAGTTAAGTTTTTTAATAAGCTATTTAAACATTCAGAGCATAGGTATTAATCTAAACCTCTCTTGTTTCATACCCAAAAGGAAGATGAAGAATTCACAGTTCTTGCAAGCTGCCTGGGTCTGTTACCATCTTTTCAGTCAGCTCATCAGTTCACCAGTGCCTCTTGTCTCGATTGGCCAGTGCCAGCATTTGACATGATATCACAGTGGTGCTCAGAACTGGCTTCATTTGGAGATAGACATCCAGATCAAATAAAGGTATGTAGCAAAATTCCAAAATAGTCCAGATGTGGAAGCAGCTATTTGGTTTTTGGTTCACTCTGCACATATACTACTGTTCTGGATATGGATCAGAGAACCTGACTTGTAAATGAGAGAGAAATTTTAATCAGAAATATTGGTTAGTGAATGTGGGATGGATTGGTAAAAAACAGGAATAAGAAAAACTGTCTATTTTTTCATACGATTATTGGAGACAGAAAATAGAAATGCTCTTCTTAGATGATACTAAGTGTACCCATGTCTTCTGTACCTGAAGCCTATAAACGGCATGTAATTGAAACTTTGACTTTAAAGAAAATACGTACCAAAAGGGCTTTTTGCCTACAAGACATTACTGATATTTTTGAGCATCTTCAGTTGCAATACTGAAAAAGATGAAAAAGATAAAAGCATTTTTAACAGTCGACTGATGAAACATTGTATATCTTCTATGAAAGATATATGTATGAAAAGGTATAAGTATGAAAAGACTTGAATGAGTGTGATTGGAATATCAGTTGTGAAATGGAAGTGTTTCAACATTACTCCATTGTTTTTATGAAGAAGCTGCCTCAACAATTCGAGTCCTCTTCTCCGAAGTTTATGGTGTCAAAGAGGCAAGCCAGATGCATTCTTTACTCTGCAACATTACCTGCATATTCCTTTGCATGTTTGCAGGCATGAGTTAGGCTATTGTGAATGAAAATTTGAATACTCAGATTAATCTCAAAATACAGTTGCTAACAATCTGATAGGCATTTGAAGGAGACTGCAAAGAAACTGATAGCATTCTTTCTGTGATTGAACAGGAACCAGCTACATGTTAGGTTCTGAGGTCTCACTTAAAAAATGTCACATTTAGAAACATTCTTGGGAAAAGGCTACTGTCCATTTCACACCCATTGCAAAAGATGAAATGTGACCACAGCTGGGGAGGTTGTTCAGCCAGAGGCAGATGACGTTTGACTTACAAATGCTGAAGTGAGAGATTTTTAAACTGCAGGCTTCCTTTCTTAGAAAATACCAGGGCATAAGTTAGTGTTCAGAACTAATATATTGTTCTTATATTATTTGTAGGCTTTGCTTATCCAGGAACCTAAGTGGGACTTGCCACGCCTCCTTCAGTTGCCTGAGAATTATAATACCATTTTCCAGTATTATCACAGAAAGACTTGTACTGTTTGCACCAAGGTTCCTAAAGATCCTGCTGTTTGTCTAGTTTGTGGTACTTTTGTATGCCTGAAAGGACTGTGTTGCAAACAACAGAGTTACTGTGAATGTGTTCTGGTAAGAGAGAGTTAATTCACATTCTGTAATTGATTCTCACTCTCTTGGATAGCTTTTAACTCCATTGCTCAGTTTTGATGGTCTCTTTCCAAAACATGCTTATATAATCATAGAATACTTTGGGCTGGAAGGGACCTTTAAAGGTTGTCTAGTCCAGCCCCAATAATAATGTTTGGTGCTTATTTCTGGTAGATGGACCTAGACTGGATTCTAAAGAGTAATTTTACTCACATTTTTAAGCCCACAGCCTATTTGAGAAATTCTTGCAAAGCCACTGTGTGTAATGTTGACACATGGTTTTGATTCATAACAAATGGATTTTGTCTATGTTCTGATTGCTCGTTTATTTTAATTTTTCTCTGTTTTGTTTCCTTGCTTTCTGTGTACACAAGAATATTAATGTTTGGTTTGTTGGGCTTTCTCTTTTTTTCCTTTCATAGAATACTTTCTGATATACCTGACCATCTAGTAGTGATCTACAGACTATAACTAGATAAGGAGTATTTTAAAACCTTCAACTTTAATTCAGCAGCAAAGTTTTCTAGTCAGCATATCCATAAGCTCTTTCAGGAACCTGAGTTGGACAGCATCTAGTACTGTTTTCCTGTCTTTGATAAAGGTTTGCTTTGACAGCTGGTCTGTTTCCTACCATAGGATAATTAGTAGAACGCTGAAACTACTTGGGCTTTGCAAAACTGAGGGGAAATTTTGGGGAGATGTTTTCAAACAAGGCATTAAATCAAACCCAAAGAAATTTCAGAGAGATCTTGGACCCTATTTGAAATTGTTCTCTCTCATACTGCTAATATGGGGGGAATGAGGGGGAGCAAAATTTTAAATAGAATTAGCAGCTGTATTTAAGGTGTAAAGTTTCATGAAAACAGAAAGTTATAAAACAAAAGAATTCAAAATCTATGTTTTATTATAGGTGATGGGATTATAGCCTCTATTTGTAATAAAATTATGTAGGAAGAGCGCGTTTTTAATTGCTAAAATGAATTTGTTAATACAGAGCATAGAGACGAGCGACACTGAAGTGTAAGCAAAAGTCTTAGAAAAAATTTGTTTACTAGACTTTGGAGCCATAGACCAGGTCTGTGAGCATGGACAGAGAAAGCAAATGTTTAGTAACAGACTATTGTAAAAGAGGTAGTATTAAGTTCTTCTGAATAGTTTCTTTTATTCTTGCCATCTATGAAAAATATTTGGCCATGCCACACATTTTGTTGTTACAACAATAAATCCAAAATACTGTAGAGAATGTTTTTTCTCATTTTTATTAGGTAATTCTGTTTTCATATGATAACAAATATCCTCGCTTTTTGAGCAGGGAACCATTTTGCTGTTATGGCAGCACAAGACATGGAATTTTAGTTTGCCTGGAGAATTTTGGGGCAGGCTAGCCTTTTTCAAACTCTTTCTTATTAAATAATGCATGTATGTTATTTCAAGCAAAACTAATTACTATTTTGACAGACACTGACAGAATCTTCACACTTTCTACCCTGTATTATTACAGCATTCTCAAAACTGTGGAGCTGGGACAGGAATATTTCTTTTGATCAATGCGTCTGTAATCATCATCATACGAGGTCATCGTTTCTGCCTTTGGGGTTCTGTTTATCTAGATGCACATGGTGAAGAAGACAGAGATCTTAGGTAATGTTTTCATTACAAGTGTGTTTCACTGTTGCTTCTCTGTATAGATCATAAAATAGAATCATAGAACAGAATCATAGAATGGTTTGGGTTGGAAAGGACCTTAAGATCATCTAGTTCCAACCCCCCTGCCATGGGCAGGGACACCTCGCACTAAATCATGTTATGCAATAACAGATGATAATAACTAATAACTACCTTCCTTGAGGGGAAAATCCCCATTTACTGCAAGTTGGACTGACTTTTTGTTGTTGTTTTTGCCCAAAAGTGGTATAATCATGATCCTGACAGATGATTCCTATTGACAGATGTGCCTATGTTGCCATTCACGATGATAGTCACTTCTTAGTGTTACATAGGGAAACACTTTTTCTCCCAAAGTTGTTATTTGCCCTTAATCAAGCGATGAGTTGGATTCTAGTGTAGGGAAGGAGTGCAGCTTCCAAGCTACACCAGCCTGAGAGACCAAGAGACGTTTTCAGGTTTCTACTATCCAAGAGGGAGGAAGGGAAGACCTAGTAGTTATCCTTTTCAAAGCAAACCCAAAAGCCCCTTGCCAATAAAAATGTAGGCTTCCCCTCGGAAAGAAGTTGTACAAGTATCATGTGTTGATTATATAATGAAGTTTTCCACTTATTTGGCCTATTAACTATTCATATTTCTTTTTTTATTCTTTTTCCTACAGGCGTGGTAAACCTCTCTACATATGCAAGGAAAGATACAAAGTGCTTGAGCAGCAGTGGGTGTCTCATACTTTTGATCATATCAATAAAAGATGGGGGCCACACTATAATGGCTTGTAAATCATCATCTACACACAGTATCATTGCTGTCACCATGAATGAATGCATCTTGACTGACAATAGCTTTAACTGAATGGGAGTTTAGCTCTTTGCCTCGGGGTGAAGTGGGGTATGGGCATAAAAGGGAAATGGAACTTTGTCACCATGTGAAATTTTAGCAAAATTAGCTGCTGTTACTACTAAATAATGATACAATAATTTGAAATTAAACCCTCAGAATGGTGTGAGCAATCTGATTGCACTCAGTAGTCTACTTTTCTTCTTTTTTTAAAGCCCATTATTGTTAAGAAGCACAAATTTTACTTACAGTTGTTTAGAGTCTCCAGGGATAGCTGTCAAGTTTTTATTTTTCTCTGCATGGAGTTGGGTTTTTAGCAATTTTTGCTGAAACACTGTATATGTCTGCTACATCTACTAAATATGTTGGATAAAATTTCTTGGCCTTTTTTGTGTTGGTTTGAGGTTTTGCTTGATACGCGTTTGTAATTAGGGTTTGTAAAACAGTTGTGAGACTGCATGGTTACAATTGGTCTGAAAGTTTAATTTTGAAGAATATTTCACTTATCATGAGAGGTCTATTGAAATATTTCAGGCATTACTGAAAACTTATGCATTCTCAGGAATTTCTTTTTTTTTTTTCTCCATAAATAAGTGAAATAGCTGTAAATTAGGTATCTATTGCTCTTCGTGTAATCCAGAACACATATTCTTTTCCAGAAAAGAGATTTTTTTTTTCCGTATCAATTGAATAAACTTAGTGATAACACATACAGAAATTGCTGTATATAGAGAATTTGTATGGCACCCAACATAGCAGATCCCAGTTACAAGCCTAACCACCATAAGCCTGCCTGTCATTTCAGACCCAGATGTATGTTTCAGAATGATTGGATTGGAAATGTGCAGGCTATTCTGCAAATGAAACATAATTTTGCATCTTCCCTGTCATTTCAGGAGGTTCCTCTATATTGTATTTGTTTAGAGTAATCACTGTTCTTTCTGCTTGGTTTCCTAAAAAGGAAAAAACCAAATCAACAGAGATAGCCTAGATGAACAACCAATGCATGTGCAGCCTCACTGGATAATGCCAAAACAGTTTATGCTTAGAGGTCTAAAAATTTAATGAGAACAGGCATGACTGGACAAAACCCCACCGTGTAAGTAGGTAGGAAAGATTATAGTTAAATTCTGGTATGTAATATATTGCTATGTTTTTCACAAGTGTTGGACATTTGTTGGCTATTTCATACAGTACTACCAAGCAGTTATGGTAGTTTTGACTTTCATAGCTTGCGTGTAAAATAAAATTTGTATGTGTAAAATAAACCATCTGATGATAAAACCACATATACAATGAAAACAGTTCCCCAGTGGAAGTCCTCATCTAGTGAAAAGTGTGTAGGGGAAATAAAATGACTGTATAGCAATCAAGGAGAACGGACAGAAAGAAAAGCGAGTAAATATAATGTGTTTTTCTGGATACCTGCAATTCAAAAATCCACAATAAAGGATGCTGGGTTTTATACATACATATAAATATATATATATTTCAAAAGTATTACAGTACTTCCTGTAAGATTAGAATTACTCTGTTTCACCAACTAAATGGCTATGTCTTTTCAAAAATATTCCTTTTTTGATACTGTATTATAAGTTCTGCCTGTAATATTTTTGCATTGCTCATTATGAATATCAGGCCATTTTGTAAGTGTGGTTAAAGAGCAAAAAGAATCTTTACATCTCCAGCATAACGTTATTACAGGGCTCATGAACTTGAGTGATCTGTAGTTTGAAGCTCCGATGCTATATTTACAAGAGATAATGTATCCAGAATTTGATTACTGTGTTTTATTTAAAATGGAATGTTCTCTGGTTGTGCATATGGATGTGAAGTAAAACTATTAGCCTTAACTTTAACATTTGGGTATTTCATAGTGTTTATTTTAGTACTGGTGAATTAGTCACCAGTCAACCTAAAACCAACAACAACAAGATCTCTTGGTTGAAAAATTGTACTTGAATATCCTTGCATGCTGCTAAACAAGAATTTTTATTTCCCCCATAACTTTTTTAATCCTACTTTATTAAGCTAACCTTGAAAAATAACAGGTCCAAACTAGAGTGGTGTGTGCGTGTATTACTCAAATGTTCTGGTGTGATATCCTGTATGAATGACCATTTAAGTACAGTACATTACTGTAGAATCTAAATCAATCTTTATAACACATCAGAAGAGCATAAAACTAGGAATACAGTAATCGACAATTGTAAGATATGTTAATAAAAGTCTACTGTCAATCTGAGTGTTCGCAAAACTTTTTTCTCTACCCCAGTCATCCCAAATGTGATTGTTATTCAGTTTACTCCATAGCCAGGCAGTTATTTAAACGTCAAAACTTACGCACACAAAGTTCTTCGCATAGAGAGAAATCTGGTATGTTTTCTTTTTGTTACTTACAGACAGTCATGTATTTTGTATTGGTGATTTGGATTATTTTATTTTACTCGTAACTATATCAGTTAAGATTGTGCTTAATTTTATGCTAGCTATTACAGCATTGCTGCTCCAAACTGCTAAAATTAAAATGCTGAGTTGAGAAACTCTACTGCTGGGAAAACCATGCTTAATCTTCTGTCAGTCTGTTTCTGGAGTTAACTATTACTTCAAGTTGATGAATGTATATATTTATGTATTAAATTCCTCTTTTTCGTCTGACCTTTGAGAAACTTGGTGAAACAGTCTTGTTTTGACCTTGACCTTTGGATAATAGCTTTTTTTTTTTCCCTAGTGGCAGCCTGAGATTTTCTGTGAGTGCTTGCATCACCTCTGCAGTAGGAATCTTGCATAACTCACAGCATTTCACAGCAAAGCACATTTTTCCTGTAAAAAGGGAATCTTTTTCTACAGTATCCAATAGATGTTATTACTTACTTCAGAATCCCATACAATCAATTTGAACTGTGAGCTGCCAGAGGAGACAGTGGGGTTTGTGCTGATCTTGATATGGTTTAGATCCAATTTTCATCTAACCCAGATTCTGCAGAACTGCTTTTTCCTTTCTTTTCTCAGAGGTGGGGGTAATGATGAATGGAGCCTGTCTGCTTAGATAGGAATTGATAGGACAAGGGGGAATGATTTTTTAACTGAAAGAGGGGAGATTTAGATTAGATATAAACAAATAAACTCTTTACTGTGAGGGTGGTGAGGCATTGGCACAGGGTCCCCAGAGAAGCTTGCAGTGTTCTAGGCCAGGTTGGATGGGCCTTTGAGCAACCTGGTCTAATGGAATGTGTCCCTGTCCTTGGCAGGGGGTTTGGAAGTAGATGAGCTTTAAGGTCCCTTCCAACCCAAACCATTTTGTGGTTCTATGAAATTATGCTGTTTGCAAAGTAAGAACACCACTGAGGTGAGCTGACCCAGTGTATGGAGGTTCACAGCTTTCAGTTATCAACTGCAGGATATGACGGTGTGCATGTAACCTTAGGAGACTGGCCTGTGTGACAATTTGTGCTGGGTGGATTGCTCACTGCAGTCAGTGAGATGCATACTGCTTGTCTGAAGGCTACGCTGCATGAATGCCTGCTTTTGGCAGGACACTTTGCAATCTCATGTTTTCTCAGATAGGCAGTTGTTTCCCTGGAAGTGCTCTTACACTGGGAAGAGCCCCAGCTGCTGTGGGTTCAGCCTTGTGATTTAACCTGCCTCTTCTGCCACTGTGGTTGTGATTGTGCTAGGTTGGACTAGGTATTAATTCCTGGAACTAGATGTCCTTAAGTAGGAAAAGCATATTCTCAGTGAAGTCAAACACTTCATGTATTCTTAGCTGTATAAATGGCCAGGGTGTTTTAATAAATTAAAAAATCATGTTAATTGATAGGTTTGTATTTTTGTTCTTCGATGTGTAATTTTTACTTTCTTACGTCTAGTGCTAGTCAAGAAATTTAATGCTACATGCTTCCAATACTGCATTTCTTTCAAATACTACTGAGAAAGCAAAATTGAATCTGGTTAAGTGAGTTTATCTTACTACCCTGAAACATGATTTTTCAATGTATGCTGTTGCATGGTACAGGAAAATGTGGAACACTTC